AAAGCGTCAGCCCTGCGCGCCCCCTGCCGTCAAAAGCAAACAAGAGTTGGGGGTCAAGCGGAGCCGAAGTTGTTCAATGGAGGGCCGGATAAGGCGGGTGCGCCGTCGGCGGCGGCCCTGTGCCAAGGTGTGCCTGATGTCAGCCGGCTGGGTGTTCCAGGCAAACTCCCCGCGCCACGCTGAGCGCGGCGGTAACGTCCAGGGCTGCTGGGGAGATCCAGTAAAAACTGAAACAACCGTCAACGATTCTGTTGGCTGCTTCGTGAAGCAATAAAGAATTGTATCTATCGCTTCCAGGCCCAAGGGGCCTGGGGCAAAAGGGCCCACCTTGAGCGGAAACAGGCAGTGCTGGCTGTTCTAATGGCAGGACTGTGCCCCTGATCCTGCAGATGTGCAGGTGCACATCTAGTAGCCATGATGATCTTAAATAAAGCAGAAATTGTGCATTTGCAGGGCTAAAATATTTCTTATTTGTAATAAATAGTTTGATGCTAGTAATGCCCAAAGGCAACAACTTTAATTCATGCTCAGTCTACTGGCTGCTGTATAAACTCAAAAATCGTAGGCTGGGTACAGTCGCTGCTCTAATTACAAAAAGATCCTGGTTTGGTTAGCTTTCACATCTCCTTCAGATCCTACTCCTCATCTCCCTCCTGGTCCGTCCCCTCCCCTTTGGTTTGGCTGTTTGGCTTGAAACAGTTTTCTCTGTATCTAGGAAATGTTATATCGCTTTGCACTGTGGGGATGTGTCAGCAGCAGATTGGAAACAGAAACAAAAGAAATTTTATCATAAGCTTTACATTCGGAAGAAAACGGACCTCAAGTTCTTCTGAGCGTTTGCTTTTCCCACTGGCTCAATTTTTGTTAAAGCTTTTTCCAAAGGAGGTGTCAAATGGTAGAAAATAGCAATTTAAACAGGATATTTGACACTTTATTGTGCGCTCGTGAACCTCCAACTATGCTTCGGGGTCCTCAATTGTGTTTAAGGCCCTTCCTCAGAGTTTCTAGAAAGAATTTTCCTGAAAGCTAAACATAGAGGAACTGACTTAGTAGTCTGTGAGCTGACCTCTTGCTCTTATTAGTAGGCTACGGAACAGACACATTTATGCATCCCTGAGATTATTGGTGTGATAACCAGAGGTTTCTGGAGTGCTCATATCAAGTTTGTAGGTAATGATATATTTATATATTGAGGATGTCAAGGACTTAAGTTAGTAAAAGGAAAAAGTAGTTTAATGTAAAGACATGTAAAAATCTATTCTGAGAACTGTAAACCAAGCCTATCTACTTCCAATATACTTTGTTAGTATGGAGAACAGGTATGATAGGGCAGAATCAGCTTAAAGCAATTTACCTACAAGATACTATGTTATGTATTTTACTGTAGCTCTTATATATTATTTTAGCTGGGAAGAGAGCAAATTATACATTACTGTAAATTAATTAAATGTTAGTGTAAAAGACCTAGGTTTAGTCTGCCTGTGGAAATCTGTGATGAATTTGGTCACCTTTCAAAGCAGGTATCTTACTGTTGTGGAGAATGCGGGAAAATCAAAATACTGTGTTAAATTTCACTATATGTTTGGCTTTTGTGATGACATAGATTTTGACATAATCTAAAATCAGAAGATAAACTTTTTGAAAACTATTGATAGAATGTACATTGTTTTAAGTAACCATCCCCTTCAGTATTTAATGCCCTTTAGAATAACACTGCACTCTTGAAAAGAAATGGCTTGCATATTTAACAATAAAATCTTCTTATTTCTCTTTATAGTCACTTCCTCACTGATTATTCAGTTGATCTCTTTCCACAAACATCTGTAACTCTTGATTGCTGTGTTCTTGATCATTCTTTATCCTACCAAATGATGGAATCCTCTGAAATGATCAAAATTGTTGCTGTCTGAGTTGGGTCAGAAACCTGGGGTAAGGTAACAGTGTGGTCACTCGTGATGGAGTAGGTAAGGCTTTTTTCTTTGTGCCGAAAGGGCAGTTGGAAAGAAAGTCTTTCCTAAGCTATGTGCTGCTAATGCTGCGTTATCTGTAGGTAACCTCTCTGGTTTGTGAATGAATTGTGCTACAGGTTCACTGTAGCAATGCCGCTGCTGTTTTCACTAGTGCCAAGCAGGAAACACAACCTTTTGGCTGCTCTACTTACCAAGGTGGCCACAGAATCAGATACGGACCCTCCCATTAGTCTGATGTCAGGGCTCTTAACTCCTTTGTAGTTACTGGATAGACTTGCCTATCCTGTGAGTATGGCCTGTGCTTCTGTTCCTAAAATATGACTTTGTATTGAGATTTATATTGCATGCCTGTGCTAGTTTGTCACGCGGTGTGCGTTGTTCTGCCTCAGTCTGTCATCAACGCTGTCTAGCAGGTCCCTTGTTCGTGTCATCAGACAGCTTGATCAGTGGTAGTTGATGTCTCTCCTAACTCCTTTCCTAAGTCTAAATAATAGAAAAACAAAACAGGCTGTGAGTGAATCTCTGGGATCATACTAGGAACATACATATTCAACGATTGCTCTTCGTTGCATTTTGAAACCTTTATGGCAGCTAGATTTTAATCGTTTTAAATGTGTGTAGTGTTGACTTTGTATGATTTTAATTAATCAGTTTGTCCCTGTTACTACCTTAGCGGTTTACAAAATGCTTACACCTCTTAGCATACAGAGGTCTCATTAAAAAGATACTAAGTTAACACAGGAGATGGTGTTTTTCATAACACTGTGTTGATTCATATTAATTTGTTATCCGTCTTCCGTTATCAAGTCCCATATAAGCTATTGCGTTAACAGCCTGGCGTTGATCTCAGTCTGAAAGAGGGGTGTTTACTTCCCAGATCGTCCTTTTGAAAGATCACAGTTAGCAGTCTAGAGAGCTCTTAGCCAGTCTTCCCGGAACGTCTTGCAGTTTATCTGATTCTGTTGATAGAAATACCTTCAGGAGCTGCAGTTTAGTAGTCTTTGGGTTACTGTTGGAGTAGACGAATTTCATCATCGTTATGTGATAGATACTATGAGAACATTTAGTTCTGCGTATTCTGAGGTAGTATTAACAGCGCTACAGTTCATTTAATAATGATCCGATAGTGCTGTTAGGTTTTTCTGTTTTTGATGTACACCAAAAGCTCCTTTTGAATGTCCTTAACTTTTCTGACCAGAAAATTAATGTTGTATAATTCTACTTCCTTCTCATTTTAATACAATTTATTTTTATATTCAGTGCTATCCAATTCCATTATCATGTTGCTATTTTACATGTTTGTTTTTATTCTTATTCTGATCAGTTCTCTCTTCCTCTGAAAATCAGATTAGCTTTTAACAACTATTGTTCTCTTTCTTGATTGTGGGGTGGTTGAATTTTAGGCCTCTATTGAAATGTTTTTAAACAGTCCTTAATTCTCAATTGTACTTTTCTGTTTAAATTAATAGTTTTTTGTGTTGTTTTCAGTCACATGAAATGAGCGTTTTGAAAGACCAGCTGTGTAGATTTCTGATTTGTACGCTACTGTGTTTGCATACAAGCCATGAGAATTTGCACCTGAGCAACCGTTAGTTTTTATTTTTATGATTACTTCCCCTTTATCCTTCCAGAGGAGGTGTAATGTAAAATTTTTCTGTTTTGAATGAAGTGCTTTATAAAGTAGGAGGTTAGTTTCTACAACACTTGAAAAACAGAAGGGCGTTTTGTCGTGTAAGTAGTGATTTAAAATTCATGCCTGGAACGTGATAAAAAATTTACTGGATATAAAATACTCTGCCATATGTACAGGTTACTAGTGAGGAGGTTGTCTTTAAAGGAAATGTGAACATGGTGCACTGATGGAATATGAGGGAATATAAGTGGGTAGTGTCTGGTAGACATTTGTACTGGTCATTGCTAAAGTTGCTCATTAAAATTTGATTATGATTTTCTTAGCTGTCATTTTCTTACTTGTATAGACTTGAGTTAATTTGTCATTGTTTATATTTCCTTATCTGTTTCAGTTACCCTTTTCTGGCTCAGGAAAGCTGACCTGACAGAGACTAGGACAGGAAGGTTGGTACCTGACTTTGAATTCCTCTTCTGCACTTGCATTTGTTCTCTCCTCGCTGAGCAGTCACTGCTCTCCTCAGTGTTATATATTATATTTGCACTTCCACAAACACAGAGAACCTGCATTGCGCAGATTTAGCATTGCGCCTTTGTAGAGGAGTGTGTGCCATAGAGAAAGAAACTGATTAATACAGAAACCTAGAGAGAATAGGTTCCAGTGAAGAGAGATCCTAAAAAGGTGGAAGATAATATGCTCGTGCAGAAGTTATACTGTGGACATACAAGCTCTTCTGCATCAGGAGTAAAAAGTATTGTGAACCTGTAGGAAGATTTTTTTTTTTTTTTGTTACAGGATTTGGTCTGGAAAAATCCCTAGGGGCTACCTTCTGGTGTGGTTTCCAGAACAAACTCCACAGAAATTCTTTCCCCTTGCTGTGTTTTGACTGGCCTCACTGCAAGTTTTGCTACCAGCCTTGCAGATCTTCAGACTGCAGCCTTCAAAAAAGGAGAAGAGGAGGGGTTGATAAAACTTTGAGTGCCAATGCAGCAGCATGCATCCCAGCATCCTGCCTGCTGTCAACACTCTGTAATTAGCAGCCTAGATCCATACAGGCCATGACAATTAACTCATTTCTCAAGACTGAGGAGCTATCAGTCACTTTGATCCCATCTTTTGACTTTCTCTTAAATTACGGCCAGCCATAGGCCAGCCATACGGGACTGTCAGGACCACTCCCATGTTGATCTTGCTGGTGGAGGAAGTGGGAGAAGGTACTCCTGCTGAGAATGGTGCCACCGTTACTTCCCGAAGCGATCCACACTGTGCCTGGCACACAAAACGCGTTCCGAGTCTGTGTTTCCTGCCTAGAGGAGAAGGGTGCTGCACGCTCTGCACCTATCTTCTTAGACCCAGTCAGGGAGCGCAGAAGCCTTTTAGGCGGTTTCACTGGTGGAGCTGTGGGGAGAGGCGTTAACAAATCTGTCTGCAGGATGGTGTGATCCTTACTTTCTCTGTAAGGGAATAGTACGTTCACCAATATGAAAAATTGTAAGGTTAGTTTCTGCCTCACTTTCTAGTGTTGAATAATCCCTGTTCCCATAGTAATTCTTGTGAAGCCCAGGAAACTGCTCATAGTATAGGATGATACTTACCATTTTTGAAGGTGTAGAATTAGGCTTTCAGTTAGTAAATAGCTTTTAAGATGAGTAATTGAGGAGGGCACGTACTGAGGCAGGACTAGGCGGCTGGAAGGCGAGAAGGTACCTAGTACATGCAAGTTGTTGAGGCCGACCTAGCACTGATCTCCTGTTTCTAGCCATAATAGTGACATATTCTTGGAGACTGAAGTGGCAGGAGAATTGTTCCTGGAACAAACGGACGATTTAAAAGCAGTAAGTAACCAGGCCCAGATGTTGTGTATCCAAGAGTTCAGAAGAGACAGTGTCAAGTGGTTGAACTGCTAGCAGAAATATGCTCTCAGTTGTTAAAAGAGCAGCTGCTGTGGAGGGTTGGAGGATAGCAGATGTTTTACCTGCTTTTTTAAGAAGGATTCTGTGACTGAACTAAGTATTTACAAAGCTGTAAGCCTTTTGGATGTACCTGTTAAACTGGTTGAAAGGATCATCAGCTTCTTTTCAGATGTCTGTCGTTACCTGTTTTTAATGTGATAGCATCTTATCAACATGGTATAGCATCTTATCAACATGGTGGTCCAGTTCCTCCAAAAGAGTGTCTCTCAGTAGTCTAATGGAATTATTTGGTCATCACATTAGGAAATAAAGAACGGATTAATGTAGCATACTCAGAAGTCATTTCAAAAGCAGAAAGAGATAAAGAATTTGCATGAATGATAAACCATCTGAGGGAGGAAACTGGCTGAAAGGTAACAAAGAGCATCCAAGGATTTGTTCTGAATCTGCCATTCCTCACAGCGTGCCTGATGGTCCCACTGGGCAGTGGGTAGTGACACAGCTTCTCCCTCTCATTCCGGTTCAGAGGTGATTCCAGCAGGCTTTGAGCTGCGGGTGACACAGCAGCTCATGAAATTCAGTGTGGAGGAGAGTAAAGTAGAGCATGGAGGTGGAAAAGATGGAAGTTATACAAGACGCTGTGTAATGATACCAAGTCCTGGAAGAGCCTTTGGTATCTGTGTTCAGGTAGGACCTTTGCTCAACAAGCAGGAGCTTTCAGAAGAAGCAAATAGGCGTTAAGATCTACACGGCCTGAACTAGAAAGGAATATGGACAATATTATTGCTTCTTTATATAACTCTTTCATCAGCAGTACCGTTGGTCTGCTGTGTGCAGTACTGGTTAACGCACCTCAGCAAAAGAAGCGCAGAATGAAAGTGGTTTGGGGAATCCTGATGGAAATGATTAGGGGACAGGGAAGATTCTTCTAGGAAAAGAGAAAAGACTGGGACTGTTATTTTAGAGAACGGACACTGGAGGATGTGATGCATATATAACTTAATAAAATACTGAATGATCTAAAGAAAGTAGATTTGGAGCTTCTGTCCTTGTCTCAACAAAAGACAGTCAGTGCAATACAAAGGCAGCAAAATGAGAACTGATGAGAAGACATAGTTTCTCATGCAGTTTTTCATTAAACCAAGGAACTCAATTTGCTAGATGCCTGTGAGTCTAAAAACAGTGGGATTAAAAATGTGAGGGTGTTGTGTTATAAGGTGAGAGGGTTATGACAGTAAACGTTGACAGATTTTTGAAAGAATTAAATGTTGTGGTTCCGGGCTCAAGAAAGTTATTAGGAAACAAAGTGAGTCCCAGATGGAAAAGAAAAGGACAGGCTATTCATAGGATCATAGGATAATTCAGGCTGGAAGGGACCTCAGGAGTCCAACCTTCTGCTCAAAGCAGGGTCAGCTCTAGAGTTGGGTCGGGTTACTCAGGGCTTTAGGTAGTCTATCTGATCTGTTGTGCCTTCTGAAGGGTTGCATACTTTTTCTGCAGAAGCAGTGCTCTGCTGGGAACACGTTGCTGGGCTGAGCAGATCCTGAGCAACATATTTAACTCACCTATATACTTCAAGTACACAGGCCAAGTGGCAAAACTTAGCACCATTAGAACATGTGCTAACGCCTTTTCCTTTCTCCGAAACTTGGAACTTGAGCAAAAAGAGCAATCAGTACAAAATACACTAAAATCTAACCTTTTCTTCCCATTTTCCAGGTTCCATCTTCTGTTCTTACTGGTCCTGCTTTGTGCTATTTTGATGATCCACATTTATTTGAAGGGCATAGTTGGGCTATAGATTTGACATGTAAGAGGACAGGTAAGTGTTGCTGTTTGTTTTACTTGACCAGCTCGTGTGATTTGTAGAGTCCCAGAATCTTCCAAAATGAGTTGAATTCTATACTGAAATAAATAATTTTGCAAAGCCATTACTTTTCCAGCTCTTCAAGCTGGTGCCAAAGGGGCTGTAAGGTATATCAATAGCAGCAGCATCAGACATAGTGAGATGTCGCACAGAGCAGGAGCCTGTAAATACAAGTCTGGAAATGGAGGAGTAAGACAGATACATCTCCCTTGGTCTCTCTGGGGCATTGCATATTGATTGCAAACGAAAAGTGCTCATCTGTTTCAAAGTTTAATATCAGGAAGTCATCGTAAACAATATGACAGTACAAATGTGTCTGAGAGAGGTATTTAAAGCCATAGAGGATATGAGATTCTGTTTTTCTCTCCATGCTTTCTTCTACTTAGAAGAAAATGGTCAATTTATAGTGATAACTACCCCAAGATTCTGTCCAGGAAAATTAAATTTATGAACTGGTTACAGAAAACTTCATTTTCTCTCTCACAGGAAATGGCTCCAAGATTCACAGCAAAAATCCTCTGCAGGTTTAGGAGGCTGAGTTTAAAATAAATAAATCCATTAACATCTGTAATTGCTTATAGGAAACGCTGACCCATGAAAGTGTGTAACCGGCATTCCTTCGCCTTGCATGTCTGCAGCCAAGCCATTTGAGAAAACAATCCCGCTTGTGTTTTTCCTGCATTTTGAGTGTTTTGGTGCCCAGAGCTTTACTGGGGAAACTGAACCACAGCTACTGCCATTCCAAGTGAAACACTCTTGTTTAAGTTTTGAAAGAAATAGATTTTGGGAGCAACATAAAACCTCCAGTAAAACAGCCAGAACTATAGCGAACTTAGGGCTAGGAAGAAGAGGATAATCAAAATGTTTAAGAATAGAGATCTAGTTTTAATGGGGGTTGCTTGGGGGTTGATGGCGTTTCCATGTGGATGTTGTTGTACCTATTGCTGTTCCAAGTAATCGCTAGCTAGCACTGTTACACTCAGTGTAGCTGAGAAAGATTAAGAAACTAATTTAAAAATATGTCCGTTTAGTCTGCCTACCCGGTGTATTTGACAGCAGTTGATGAAACATGGTCAATGTCATGATTTACTGAGCACCCAAAGGAGGAGTTCAGTACTAGTTAGCAGGAGAGCTAACCCTGAATGTGAGCAGGCCACGGAGGTAAGAGGAGAGAAAGGATGAGCATGTTTGGTAGAGTTGCTCTCAGATCTGTTCCAGAAACCCTTTGAAAGGCCAGACACTGAAAAGTCTTACTCCATTGCCTACATTTTAACAGGAGGTCAGGCTCTCCTCTTTAAATGAGCTGTTTTACAAAATGGAATTTTACACTCTCGAGTGACAGTCTTTCCTTCTCGCCTTATGGGAGCGAATGCATTCACTGCTCTTGTGTTATATAAATGTAGGTATGGCGGCATTATACAAAAGGGACAGTCAAATCTTGAGCTCCAGGAAGTTCAAAAGTGTGGTTAGCATGCTTTTGTTCACACAAAAGCTTATGTTTAGAAAGCTTTCGTCGTCTGTCCTAATGTGGCCTGTGTTTGTCTGTACTAAAAGTACAGTACTAGTGTTTTGGGTCAATATGTGCTATTATATGTATGTGCTACAATGTATTTCACTATTTTATATGAAAATCTCTTCTCCTTCAAAGAAGAGTCTTTGAAGGATATCGTTCTTCAGAGTGGTACCTGAGCCCTGTTTTGCACTGTGTCTGCATATACCATCCTGCATATCCACCTTTCAAAATTTCTTCTATTTAAAGGCTTCAGTAAGTCTTTCTGAAGCCCTCTAGCATACCATGAAGATCCTACACATGCTCTGGACAGATTGAGGTGCTTAACTTACATTCCAGAGACCTCTGAAGAACAAAGCCGTCACTGCACTATGAGTGAAAGCAAGCAGGTCCTTGGAGAACGTGCTGCACTAGCTAACTGTGAATTAAGCACAGAAGAAAACTGACTGTTGGAACAGTGGAGAAGTGCTCACGGTTGACCTTGCTGGAGTCTGGAGAATGGAGATCTCAGAGTTGGTGGAAGGGACTCGGTGAAGATTGCAGGCCACAGAGGATGCAGACCTGAACTGTTTCTGATATCTTCCCCTGATCTCCCATACATATAGTGGCAACGGGCCAAGCAGCATTACTGCAGCCTGCAGGCCAATGGATGAACTGGACAATGATTTTAAAGAATTGTGGGCAAATCTTTTGGGTAGGGCGAAGAAAAAAGCTGAGGATGCTGAGGCAGCCAAGAGGGTTCAGAACAGGACAAAGAACACTGCGACAAGAAGCAAATTAAAAAGAGGCAAAGCTGCTGCTAAGAGCCAAAACCATCATTGCTTTCCAGTAGCGAAGGGGAGAGACTTGCCTCAAAACTTGGGTCCTAAGGAGCAAACAGGGGTGCACAAAGAAGATGGTGATGCTGTGGCCTGTACTAGTGGTGGGACTCCACTGCCAGCCAGCTAAGTGCAGTGGCCAGTGACTCTACCCAGAGGACTCTGACAGGTGAGTGCACTGAAATCTTTCAGACAGAAAATAGGCTAGTAGTGAAAAGACTCCGTTGTTCAGTGGAGCTCTTCAGAAGTCCGCCTGGAGGAGGCATATGGCAACACTGGTCGAAGCAGACTTGCATCTCATGCTTCCATCTATGCTTAGCTAGTTAGGGGTATCCAGAAGGTTTAACCCAGGACTGTGGTCTGTGGTAGAGGCAGGCAGAAGAGGCCCTTCAGTAGGGTGAAGCCTAGGTGCTGAGTGATGCCTTAGGGAGTCATTACTCGCTATTTTTTGCAACATCAGAACTTAGAAAAACACCCTCAAATCATCAAGAAGCAAGTTTAGATTACATCAAAGTGCTTTTGCACACAGTGTGTTATTACATTGTGAAATATGTTGCCATTGGATGTTATCAAGGCCAAGAATATAAATCGATTAAGAAAGGTACTGGGTTAATTCATGACCTTCAGTGGTCGTTAAATGTGATGTCCAGAAGGCAGTCACCAGTGCAGGAAGTCCTTAAACTGATAAATAAGGTCAACCAGGAGAAGGATTACTTTGTAGCTGTCCTGTGCTGATACCCTTTCATACATATCTGCTGCTGACTGCACTCAGAAACGAGATACTGGGCGAGCGAGATCTTTTGTCTAATCTCATACGCTGCCCCTGTCTATAGGATACCTCAAAGCAGAGCAGCGATATACTGAGGTATTAGTCTAGCATTGGCTCTCCTGCTGCTTGTTACCGCCTCTCTTTAGGAACAACTAGTTCCTTGGCTCTGAGCCTGAAAGTCCGAGTCACAGATAGGGTTTGAAGATCAGAGCGGAGAACAGCACAAACTACAGGACATCCAGCGGTGGGAACACTGGGAAGAGTGGGGCTGTAGGGCTGCATTGCTCATTGCCCTCTCTAGTGATCTTCAGACAAGGCCTTCCTTAATATTCCCTCCTCTAAAAGGGATGTAGAGGCATGTAATAGTTAAACATATTGTTTCGTTTTTCCTCTAAGAATGACTCTGTTGCAAAACTGAGAATGGCTTAGGCTGCTGGTGGGGGAGGCCTCCCAACAGCTCTTTGGGCAGCTCAGCTATCCGTTTAATTCTGACTGGGGAAGCTCTGGTGCCTTCTCTCCCTCCAGTGAGTGCTCTGAGTGGCTGCTCCCAGACTACGTTATCCTTCCATTCTGCTACGCAACCAGAGACCTGCTCTTCACCCATCTTGAAGACACCGCTGCTGTCCGGGTCTAAGGTGCGGGTAGCAGAGCTGGTAGTGGAGAGAATGCAGCAGTTCAAGAGAGTGGCACCTGAGCAGCTAAAACACAGCATGGATGATAGCTTGCCAAAGGCTGTAGCCAGTGGAGATTTCCATGATGAACACCAGGAACAGAACCCATCAGAGAATGGTACGTTTCTGCTGTTAGCTCTTGTGCGTGCAAAACGAGTGCTGTGGGCTGGTTAGAGTGGTTGCATGAGAAGTAGTCTGGGTTCCTGGGCTTTTATTCCTGAGCTAGTGGCTCAGTGTGTGACGCTGAATAAATCACTCCAGATCTCTGAGAAAACTTCCTTTCTCTATTGTTAAAGGACTATCCGTACTTTTCTCCCAGCTCTTTTGTGAGGCTGAATTGATCTCATGTTAAATTCTGAAGGGATAATTTACTTTCTGGAAGCAGGCTGAGATTCCAACAGGGTCGGTAAACCTAGTCATCCTTCCCATAGGACAGTGTTATGTAGCTGTTACATAAATATGACTCTTAGGTAGCCAATGTCTTCTGTAGATCTCTGAGCACTCTACAGAGGTAATATGTTCTATGCAGATGAATTGAATCCATAGCAATTTTACTGTGTTTTGGTTCTTTAAAAGTCAAGGCCCTTTTGGCTCTGTATGGACATGAGACTCTCCTGTGTTTTAATTTGTAATGTATAAGATGCCATGTTCTCCCCAGCAACTTTAGCCAAAACGTAACCCTCCTTTTGGCTCTGACATGTGATGTGCTGTGAACCAGTTGCCACCTTCCGCTCCTGGGGTAGTGCAGTCCTGTAGCGTTTGAAGAGTGCAGTTTGTACGTTCCCTTATGAGAAATCAGATGTGGAGATGCAAGAGGAAGTTTACAATTAATTTTTAAGTGTCCAGTTTATTAAAGTAATCATGACAAGTGTAACAGTTTCACGCCTTTTGTACAAGCTTAGCTCAGATCATCTCTCCCTTCTGTGCCAGATACCCACGATCTGCCTTCCACTGAGCA